CTAGTTAGCTAGCCTTTGGCTAGCTAATAGTTAGCCAAGTTGTAGGTCACATATTATATTATAACTTATACACACATCCCACTATATAAACAAGTCTTTTTTCTTGTAATCTTTCGATGTGGGATTCCTTACAATTTATAAGACACTTAAAATTTGGCTTATCTACTTATTGTCTTATATTGGAGACTTTTCCATTTCACCCAAATTAATTGCAATGTCCCACATCATTAAATATTATATTTAATGATTTAACATACTTAAATTCAATTAATTTCAACACGTGGCAATGAGTAAAGACGACGATTTTATTAACTCAGGGGTGGTAATTCGGGATAGCTTGGGGGTGGTTATCGTTAGATGTTTTGGTGGAAGATACAAAAGCACTCGCCATGAGAGATGGACTTCTTTTTGCGAAGGGGAATGGTAGCCATCAAATGAGTTTCGAAATTTATGAATTAATTAAGGGAAAACAGCAGCGAAGGTTCCAAACTTTTTAATTTGCAACAAGCTAATCATTAACCTTTTATTTTTGCCACTACAGTACCAAATCTTTCATTTTGATTGGAGTAATCCGTTGTCAACCCTAAAATTAGAAATTTGAATCAAATTGACAAAACAAGTGAAGTGTAAAATGATCCATTTATATTTTCTATTATAAAACTTTAAATTAACTAAATAAGAAAAGGAATGGTTCATCTTCTCCAAACCTCCCCTACACCCCACCCTTTCCCCAAAACCAATAAGATAAATTTAATTTAATCAATGACCATTGAACTTTGTTATGGTTACTATTTACTCATCGATCTTTAAAAAGCTATCTGTTGCTTGCTGAATGTTACTAAATATTACTGTTTGGTCACCAAAATTTAAAAGTTTACTCGTTGCTTATCTAAATTTGAACAAAGTTACTCGTTACTCACCGAACTTTGCTATGGATAATACTAATGGGTAATTTTATTAAAATTTGGATGAGTAATGAGTAATATTTTAAATTTCTATAAGCAAGTAATAACATATAGCAACGTTCAGTGAACAAAGAGTATCCTCTTGAATTTCGATGAGCAAGTAGTAACCTAGAACATAATTCAGCGACCATTGATTAAATTAACTCGAGAGAAGAAATCCAATCAACGCCGACCACGGCCCCTGCACCGCCCATGAATTAATCTCTTTTCACGGTCCCCAAATCTTACCACTCTCTCCATCCCAATTCCAGAGTATCATTTCTCTCCAATTTTCCTTTTTCAAGAATCGTCAGAAATACCCATTTTAATTGAAAACAGTAAGCTGGTTAACTTGCATGGATCTTGACAATAATAATCCCATAAAAACTCTGAACCATTTCAACTCTCATTTTTGATCTCGTGGCTTCCTTATTCTCAACAATAAATCCTTCTTATAAGGTTCTTAAAATTGGTCATACCCAACATTGAACTCACCCAGTTACATAATTTATTTGTTGCTATGATGCAAATATAATAATCTTAAATTCCTCTAAGAGCGAAACTCGTGTGCGTAATAGTGGCTTGTGAACAATTGAATCTTCTTTGAAAACCACTCAAGTTTCTAGCAGGGCCGACCCTCAAAACTTTGAGGTCATAGACGACTAATTATTATAAATTCTTAAATATGATCTTTTTACTAGAATAGCAATGCTTATATATTGGTTTCTACTGCAAAGATATTGATTTCTATACTTTTCCTCATTGACGCTGCTACTTACATGATCAAAAATTCCAAACAAGAAGTCATTTTACATCTATATTTAAGGTATGTCTTTAGCATGGTTTCTCTAAAGAATAGCCAATCCAAAGTTGGAAGAATTATGTATTTTCTGATGTTTTAATAGGTTTTGGCTGCTTCATGATAATATAATGCCGTTTGATAAAGTCTGAAGAATAGATCATGGTTCTTGAAGAAACAGTAAACAAATAAAATCAAGGATAACACCAAGCAAATGGAAGAACATTCTCTAAATACAAAGAAAAGGAGGCCAAAGCAAAGCCAATCATCATCTAAGCGGACAACTGAATATATGCAAAATTTCTTGTCTCTGTAGTTGCCATGAATATTAAGATTATGTTTCATCATAGCATGTGCACGGCTTCACACACACTAAAGAAGCGAAAACCACAAATATTTCATCACTTAAAAACACTTGAAAAGTGCTAAACAAATGTATGAAAGTTAAACTTGGATTGATTAAAAAAATGAGTGCTGAAAAACAAAATATTCACGAATTTAATGCAAATTTGACACCAAATTATTAACAGAGAAATTATAATTCATCTCTAAACTCTCTTACATGTTATAAAAATAAAAAAAGAAAAAAGAAAAGGAAATTTGAAAAATCAAACCTAGTCTATTAAACCAAAACTCAATTATTTTCCAAAGTTTTAATTGATTCAAAGCCAATGATAACATTTTCAACTTTTTTCACACAAACTCTTTCAAACCGAAATCAAAAGTACTCATATAACTAAGATTCAAGAGCAAAATATCTTGTCATGTCATAAATAAATATTTTTAAAACAAAGACAGAATAATAATAATAATAATAATAATAATAATAATAATAATAATAATAATATCTTGAGTACTTTTGATTTTTACTATAAAATTCAAAAAAAAAAAGTTATTTTATTTTATTTTTGGTTATCTTTTAGGCAAATAAGTGAGAACTAATCTACCTCCTAGCAGCTATGAAGTGGGTGTGGCAAAACTTTATTATTGTGGTACAAAAGTGGCTATGCCTATGGCCTATGCTGCTCATGCATTTACACTTCTATTTTTCCTTTGCAATTAGACCAAAGCCATCTCCTACTGTTAGCC